TAACGATTTTATATTCGATAAACCTTAAACTGTATAGAGTACTTCTAAATCGATCGAAAATTAAAACAATTTCGATCCGTCATACTGAGGATTATGCAATTAGTATGGGCAGTTGAATATACACTTTAGCAGTTCATTATTGTATACTACTGAATAATATTATAAAGCGTTGTTGACAAAAAATATTACCTATTATTTTCATAATGATCAAATAAATTAATTTAAATTTAGTCAAAAAAAAAAAACGAATACGTAGAATGATTAATTTCAAAAAATAAACAATTCATACTACCTACATATTATAAACTATCTTTATTATAGTACTACTTATTTTATATCTAATTTAATATAATGTAATGAACTATTTTATACTCAAACACTAAATAAAACTACCTACCTGAATTTAAACTTTTAAAAATTATTGTAACCGTTGTTAACAGCATTTTTCGTATAAGTTGTGAAACGATTTTTGAAATTTTTGTGGTAATTAACACCCTCGAGGGAAGGAATAATAATTCTAATTGACTGGATAATAACTTATTTTAACCAATGGATGTAATTATTGGCATATGGCTTCATAATATATTATTACTCAATACTCATAATAACAGTAGTGATAACATTAAAACTAGTTTTATCAGTCAGTTCTAGATATAAAAGAGAAACTGACCCACTACCGCTGAGTACCCAAATTGCCTATCTATGACCCCGTTTCATAATGATATTGAGTATTGTTAAAATATCTAAATATAGTTTAATATATTGTTAGTCTATTAAGACTTGGTATGTTGTTTAGGCAAAATATTCGTATCAAAATGCGTTTGGTAAATACTATGGCATCCTCTATCCAAATATTTAATACATATTAGAGGCATAAAAGAATTAAAACATAAGAAATAAATCAAAATTGAAAAACATGTACACATCAAAAATATTTTGGTAAAAACTAAATCTTAATGATATATTATTAATATTATTTTCAAGTTCTTCATCGTACTTATAAATATAATGTTAATCTAATAATTATTGTTTTATTAAAATACCTATGTACTTCAAATTGGATTGCATCCACTTTTTTCCTGATCTAAACTATATTCTTATTTTAGTGGCTCGAACACCATTACAAGGTGTATACTTAAGTATTTGATTCTTTTCTTACACTTATTAAAACTTAGTTAATCGACAATCACTTCGAGAAACACTCAATCGACGAATAGTTATTCAAATAGAGAAATCCTATCCGAATATCAAATTAAGTATCTATTTGGATTTAAGTATAATTATTAGTAAAATATAACACGTTTAATCATAGGCAATACCTAACAAGTGATTCCAAAAATAATTGATGGAAGAACTGTCATACTACTGTAACGGCCCATTACGTTTCAATCCGACTAATTTAAAGTATTTGATAATGTATTACACCTCATTGAATGCGAATAATAATCATGTCTCAATATTAGGAAATGTTTTTTTTTTTCGTTGTTTAAAATAATTTCATTATACAAATCAATAATATAATAATAAAACTGTATTCCATCTTGTGTAATCTGGATTATTGTAGAATAGTAAAATATTATCAAACGTTCATTTTAATATTAAACATCAAAATAATATATTATATGAATAAAGTCGTAACGATACCTCATACATTCAAATATAATTATATATCTTTATATATTATAATATAAGACAGTGCCCCGAGTAATTGATTCATAATCAAAGCAGAGCCGAATCTACTATGGATATCAATTTGATATTTTGAGGTTAAATTAATATAATAAATTCGTAGTGCACTTAGAAAGAATTGTACGTGTAAATTGTACTTAATTTTATTTATTTTACAGGCTTATCCTTTGACAATAAAATACGTATATAAACAATTGTATAGTGACAACAATGAAATATTATTAACTTTACAAACAAACATCTAAATAACGTGTACATAATATATATTATATAAATAATAATCTAAATTTTATTTTGTTAAAAGTTTTTGTCAAAATTCTAACTACAGACACTATTAAAAAAATATTGAGGAAAATGCTCAACTTTATATAAAAAAGTTTTAATAGTTAAAAAAAAGTTTTTATAAAAACTTTATTTGTACTTAAATAATATATTATCTAAAATTTAAACTTTTATATAAATACCCGGCCTACCCGTTATATTATTATTTTACATATTACTTCATTATGCTTAATAATTATTCATACCTATCTAATTCAAAAAATAATAAATACGCAACAAATATGACGTGAGCAACTCTGAGCAATAAAAAATATATATTTAAACTGTCAAAGTATGTTTTATATTTATTCATATAACCTTATGAAAAAAATTCAACACAAATATACCTTTTTTTTTTATGTTTACATACCGACGACGCCGCGGGGACTGCTTTAGCATTGTTCCGCGACAACATAAATAATATACCTACATTAAAAAAAAAAAAAAATTATATACAATAGTACCAAGCAGTTTTAAGTATTTAACAATAATTTACAAACTTGCTATTTGTTCAACTTGGAATTTTCAATGCTATTCTCATCTTATTGTAATATTGATTTTTTATATTATATTATACCTAAATATTTAATAAGTAAATATTATGTAACTTAAAACTGATAATATATGTTATATAGAGGTCTGAAGTTTATTAAACTGTTTTTACTTATTATTGCAAAGTTTTTTTTTATAAAAATGTTTGAAAAAAATATATATTGAACAATTTTAAATTAATGTGTTCTATATAATCGAAAATTTATAATTTGTGATTAAAAAATGCCCATGTTTATATTATAATAATTATGAATTAATTGTTTTTGTTAGTGATCAAAATAAAATTATAAATATAATATATAATGCTATTTATCGGTAATTAATGATTTTCAATATTCTATTGCTAAACGGTTTACAATGAATTTATTGTTTTGGTTAGTGATCAAAATAAAATTACATTTTTTGTACCTAAAATACCACTTGACCACCTTCTTTTCAGAGTTACTCACATCTTATTTGTTCCGTATTTGTTTTATTTTGAAATAGGTAAGTATGACTGATTATTAAGATTATGCTACACGGCCATTTGTTGTCTCCGTCTTAAAAATGCGTAATATAGCAAAATGTACGTTCAGCAGATCACGTTTAGCTCCGTTAATTTAAAAGTAGAGTGAATCGATTTATTATTAAATTTGATGTTAAGAACATTAACTGAGTTTGTATGTTAGTTTTTTATGACAGGCATATACAATTTTAGATTATAGATCATATCTATATTATTAAAAAACCTCAATTCACAGTTATGTAGATTCGAAATAGGGTTGGTAATTATTATTAAAAAATTAATTGTACGCGGTTTTATTTTCGGTTATCCAATTTTTATTTATGTGTAATGAACAATAATAAATTGTGATGAGTATCTTGATTTTCTAAATGTAGTTAGCAATAAGTATTTAAAACTTAATTATTGGATTCAATAAATATAAGAAGATTATATTATTATACTTAAATATTTGATAAGTTAACTGTCTATAGTTATGATTAAATGCTCGAAAAAATCAATTGTTTATACATCGTCATATACTTATAAAATAGAAAACATTTTGAAACTTCAAAACCAATTAATTAGGTACTTTAATAAAGATATTAAATATGAATTTTATCTTCTCTTGAATCCCACCCCACAATCTTGGATTTACAAACAACAATTAATTGAAAAAAAAAAAATATCTGGGTTAAGTGTATTTATTTGAAAATAAAAATAAACTGAATTGCATTGATTTTAAATTCAATAAAGTAGGTAACATCACAAACAGAATTAAATTGTTTCAAAATAATATTAAATTTAAACATTAATCAAAAAACACACTTAAGCCATAATAGTATATACAGTAAATTATATTTAATGATATATCCCAATTCCATTTTTGATTGTTTGTTTTCATAATAATATTATTGTGCACATTCCCCGTGTATTATATTTCTGTTATTGATTTAGTTTGTTTATTTAAGCTAAAGCACTATTACCCCTAAAGCCATTATTATTTAATACAATGGCATTACGATTGCATAGATATTTTAAGGCACCGACATTCGAGCAATAAAATTATTTAATCTTATTTTATTACAAGGATTAACTGAAAATCGAAATACTGAGTATTTACCTATAATAATCTTATTTAACATAACTAATACTGGCAGTATGGACATTTACATAAACATTAATAATTAATATCCGGGTATCAAATACCTAGGTACTGACCGCGAATTAAGACATATCGAACGAATACGTCTTTATGGAAATACTCAGACACTGCATTTTGTTAAGTATACATTTCCCTAAAGAACGAAAAAACTGATTTCCCAACCCAATATCTCAAAATACTGCTCCTAAGAAGACGAACTTAAAAAAATTAGTTGCTATAGGGGAAGAGGATCCTTCAAAAAGTAGGTACTAAAAATATCACTAGAAGATATCATGATGTGATAAAAATTTAAGCCATAAAATTGATGAATTATTCAAAAATGTCAAAAAAATAATATCAATCAATGAGATATCCATAACTCGGCTATTTTTTAACATAGGAAGTTGGTTTTACCATTAAAATTCATAAAAAAATAACATTAAAAATAGTTAGCCAAAAAATAGTAGGGTTGCCATTTAAAAAAAAAAAGTTGTTATGCGCACGCGCGAAATGAAATAGCATAAAAATTGTTTGATTACCTTAATAAGTTATAACAAACTTTATTAAGCGCCACAAACAAACAGAATTCAAATATATTTAATATTTGTAAAGTTATAGAGTGTTTCCGACAACCGGTACACACACTGTATTTGCCTATAATAATCTTAGCTAAAAGTACCTACTAAAAAGCGTTTTTCGTGTATGACATCATAAAAATATACAATCGTATTTTTATAGCAGTTAAACATCGTATATATTAGGTGACATTACAATAATAAATATAATATGCAACACGATAAAACAAGTTGAACTTTACGCCGGTTTGGGCAAGCGAAAAATCCGTCGGCCCGTGTTGACGTACGACTGCAGCTGTCGGACGTCGTCGGCCATCTGGTCGATTTTCTTCTGGACCTCTCCCCAATATTGGACGCTTGACGGCGGCGAGCCGGTGGACGTGGACAGACCGGTGCCAGAGTACGGCATGAGCGAGCCGCAAAAATGCATTCCCGCCAGGTAGCCGAGGACGGACGCGACGACGGCAAACGACAAGAGCCAACGGTGTTCGTAGACGAAACTCTTCACTTCGTAAAAAAACGAAATCATGATTAAGTCTAGCATGACGGCGACGGGGACTATCGATTTGACGACGGCGTTTCGACAGTGGGCACGCCTAATAATATTACTATAATAATATTACTATAATAATATTACGAAATGTTATGTGATATTATGCCGCAACGACGACGATCGCGAAATGAAAATAATAACATGTATAATTCGTCGAACGGTGAAACAATTGATGTCCACATGGATGACATCGCACACTATCGGCGGTTTTGCCATAGATGAGCGGGGCGGGCGACAAATCATTATAATTTCATTAGATTAATATTATTATAAAGAGAGGCGATCTTTATATCTAAAGTTCTGTCTACTGGTTTTTCAAATTTTTCGAAGGACACCGAAAATTCTTTTGCCACTATTACAGTATAATTCGGACTTCGGATTGGGCGTCAGCCATGGAGGTAATAAGTCGAGATCGGAATTCGTGTCCTGCGAATTTTCTATGGGGGTAATTTTTTTTTCTACACATTTTTCGGTAAACACCGAAAATTCTTTTTCTTTTTTAGTTAGATAAATTTGTTTGTAACTTTTATTTATTATATGCATGTAAATGTGTACGTAGCGTACCTACCATTATGTAAATATTTTATTCTACTAAAGTTATCTCTTAATTTTCTGAAAAATAAAATTCAAACAATTATAATTATTAAAAATGTTCAATCTCATCCTAAAAATAATATAAAAATAATTGTTTTAAATTAAGACTATTTACTTCAAATTCAACATATTAATAAATGTATAATTCTAAGCTGATATAATATATATTTTCACATTTTCCGAGTGTCAACTGTGACACTCCAATTTTTTTTATTTTTTTATTTATTTATTATTTAATTATTATGAAACGGCTACAATACCCAAAAGACCAATATTACATTTTACATGCATTTAAATAATCTAATACATGGTAACAGAAAGTAATTACAAATATCGGTTAATATAAATTAAATAATACAGCATTTTGACGACATATAAAGTACCTAATTATTAATTAACAAAACACCTAATGAATTCAGACGTTAATTTAAATTATTAAAAAAGGTTCCTACATAAAAACCAAGGTACATATTATGAGCATACTGATATTTATCTGTAATTAAAGATTTTCAATATTCTATCGCGAAACGGTTTACAATGAATTTATTGTTTTGGTTAGTGATCAAAATAAAATTACATTTTTTGTACCTAAAATACCACTTGACCACCTTCTTTTCAAAGTTACTCACGTCTTATTTGTTCCGTATTTATTATATTTTGAAATAGGTAGGTTAGGTATGACTTATTATTAAGAGGATGCTACAAGACCATTTGTTGTCTCCGCCCTACAAAATATGCATTAACATGGCAAATTTAAGCTCACAGATCACGTTTAGCTCCTTTAGTTTAAAAAGTGGATTTAATCGATCTATTATAAAACATGATGTTTAGACCATTATCTGTGTTTGTATGCTTGTTTTTTATGATTGTCAAGTTTTTAGCAAGTTATGCGTTAATAGTATAGAGTAAATTAAAAATGCTCACTAATACTCATTTAAAAACTGAACTATATTATAAACCCACATACGAACACTGAAACGCGGATAATGTTCATACCATTGAGTTTCGATTCACTCAAGTTTTAAACTAACAGAGCTAAACTTGATTGGCTGAGAGTAAATTTGCCATGTTACTCACTTGTAAGACGGAGACAACAAATATCTGTGTAGGGTATTCTTAAGTCTAATGAAGTAATATGCAACATAATAAAATAATGTGTAGGACGGGTTGGCACATTGTTGAAATTACTGTGGGGGGGGGGGCGAGAATTTTATAATCATTACACATTTACACCTATATAGGTACCACTGTCCTAGAGCTGATCGCAATTATTTATTTCAATAATACAATTTACAAAGTTCAGCATAATAAACAATTTGAGAATAATTAAGTACAAAAAAAATTATTTGCATTATCTTTAACATTTTAGAAACGTTCTAGTTATTAAGAAAATATTTAGTTATTCATTATTAATTTACAATTATAAACAATGGCGGACTTAAGGGTTCAAATAACGTCGGAAAATCCACAGTAGGTGCCTAGTACAAAATGTATGAGTAACATACTTAATCTCATTTTACTAAACCACTCGCTTCGGTCGTGATAAATAATGACCAACCAATATTAATTTTATCGTAACAAGCCATCTAATTAGAATAAGTTTACTATGTAGGTATCTACTGTGTGTCTGTGTAGAATTTTGATAATAATTAAAATTTAGTTTGACAAAAAATCATTTTAAAATATAAAAAAATTTGTGAAGCTCTAAAATTATTCATTAAATATAAAAAACATTAAAAATATCAAATAATTACTTAGACATGATAATTAATTTATTAAAAAATGTGTATCACTTGTAAAAATGTAAAGCACTAAAATACTCAATGCCATATGCGGCAAAAAACAAAAATACTTCAAATTTGTCGATTATGCCGATTTTGGTAATATTGATAGTAAAAACCTTCATAATTAGTTTAAAATAGCATATTTTTAACAGGGAAGGCGAGAGACGCGACGCTGATAAACCTGTAAGGGTGTTATTAGTTATTATTAACACCACATAATTAAGAATGTTCCAAGTTATGATAATAAGTTAGTAAAATCTTACGAATTTAATTTAATTTTTATCACAGAATAATTTTTAAAATTTTTTTTTTTAATTCAGTTATTTAATATGAATTTTACAAATTATAAAAATTATTGTATATTTAGTCACTTTAAACATTTGTGGTCCAGGTGGGCTAAGACCTCTACTTTGAACTTCTAAGGGGGTAGTCCGTTCAAGCTCCCTTCCTTGATTCACGATTATTTGTATTGGGTAGGCATATAAAAGTTTAGATTTTAGATCATATATTATTAGAAAACTTCAATCCACAGTTGTGTAGATTTGAAGTTAAGTAGGTAGGTAATTATTATTAAAAATTTAGCTGTACGTGGTTTTATTTTCAGTAATCCAGTCTTAAATAAGTGTAATGAACAATAATAAATTGTGATGGGTGAATCTTGATTTTCTAAATGTAGTTAAAAATTAGTATATAAAACTAAATTATTAATTCGAAGATTATATTATTATACTTAAATATTTGATAAGTTAATTGTCATTGATTATGATAAAATTCTCGAAAAAATCAATTGTTTATATACCTACTTCTAAAATAGAAGAAATGTTTGGACTTCAAAACTAATTAAGTGATTATTTTAATAACGATATTAAATAAGAATTGGACCGTCTCTTGTATCCCACCCCACAATATTGGATTTAGGAACAACAATTAATCTAAAAAAAACATTATTTGGGTTTTGTGAATTTATTTTAAAATTCTATAAATTACTTTATAAGTTACTTCACAAACAGAATTCAATTGTTTCAAAATAATAAACCATTTTAACATTAATCAAAAAATACACTTAAGCCATATCAGTGTTATACAATAAATTATATTTAAAGATATATCCCAATTCAATGTTTGATTGATTGTTTTCATAATAATAATATTACTGATTTCAGGTACTTATAACATCGAATGGATACATCTAGTGGGTATAGAATAAAAAGGTTCTAAATCGTTTTTTATGAAATTGTCCAGGAGAGCAATTTTAAGGTTTGAGTTCAAATATTTTACTCCTTGAATAACATTTTTTTAAAGTTAAAGTTTTAAGGCATGCAGAAACTTGTATAGTTTAATTAAACAACATTACAATAATAATTTGGTGTATTGGTTGATATACAAATTTATAAAATGCAAATTGTAATATGTTTAGTATGAAAAGGTTCTACAATATAGAATATTTAGAACCTTTTCATCCTAAAATAAAAAAATAAATATATTTAATTAGGTAGACATTTTTCATTCTTATTTATTATTTTATTATTGTCAGCTGAATCCTTTTAAGAATAATGCTTTCTCATTGCTAAAAAACTTCTATCACGAAACAATGTCATAATTATGAAATATCGAAATTTGTATCTCGATCGTGAAATTTTGTTGAATATGGATAAAATATGTAATAATTTATTGGTAGTGATTAATTGAGTTAGAAACTTTTCATACTAACTTATTGTTAGTAATTTATTTCCATTAATCGAGCGTTTCCAATTTGAATGAAATGTGTTTACAATTTGATTTTTAGCGATTTAGAACCTTTTACTTTTAAAAATAATCGCTAATAATTACCGTATAATCATAAATGTTAGCTAAGATGGGCCTTTACATTCTAAAACCATTTTAGTTAAAGAGTGAATTTGGAAAAAAAATTGATTTAGAACCTCTACTTTCTAGACCCACGATGTTTATATGGAGATACTGACTTATGTTAAGTGTATATGCTTTCTAGTACGAGATAACACTAGAGAAAAATGCAGTATCTCCCAAAGAACGAAAAAAAAGTGAAAATATTTATTTCTTTTAAATTTTAAACAAGCATGGAATAAATAATATGTAAGTAAAATTATGTAACAAATTCGTAGAAACAATAATACAAATTATATCAACAGTTAAAAAATATTTTCTGAGCGGAGCGATGAATGTTTTGATTTTACAATAATGTGTGTTTTTTTTTAATATTTGTGCCTGTGCACATGGTTAGAAGTCGAAATAATACTTCGATTTTCAACTACAGTATCTTGTTCGATGGGAAAGTGAGTCCCATTACAAGTTGGTACTTTTATGAGGTCAAAATTTAAAATTCTCAATAGTTTTCAAAAGTGCCCGGAAGGCCGGAAAAACAAAATAAAAATTAAGGAAAAACGAGAATTTTTAAGCAAAATCGGTTTTGGCTTTTGGTGTAACTCTTAAACAAATGATCGTAAATACATGTAATTTTGACTGATTGTCTATATTAGCCTATTTTCTATATAGAAAAAATTTTCCAACTTGACTTCTTTTAAGCTGTTTACGGATATACTCGGTTTACAACTTCTTTAGGTTTTTTCCCTAAGAATG